TACATTTATATTCCTTTGGTTGACAGCTAAATACTAAATCGTACCTATTCATGGTGAAGTTCAGTAATAAAACAAAGGTGTCTAACTAGGGAGCTCCAAGGCTCAAGTCCTAGAACTCATACAAAACCAGAAGACATTTGAGTTTCCTAAGCCAGTGTGGACAAGCGAGAGACCTGGAAAGATTATGTCCCCATACTGTGAGTAGGAACTCCTTCCAGCAGCTTAAAGTAAGTAAGCTCATGTGCAGCTGCTGTAACCCCTTCAACATGGTACTCTCTGAAGACTGGCAGCAAATCCACTCACCAGAGGGTGTCTAGCTAAGTCACAAACAACTACTTCCAGAAGAAAGCAGTAAAAGGAAATCCACGCTCAGAAATGAATTGGGTAACTAGGTAATTTTGAAATATCTCAAAAATGGATACAAAAAAGATACTTACACACAGAAATTGGAGAGAACTTTTAAAGAAAGTTGAAAAATTCCTTGCAAATAGACTTACAAAAAATGTGAAAGGACGGTCCTCAAACTATTAAGAACACCATCAATAAAGATGTTTGCTTATTTAGAAAATATAGTATATATTATCTTTTGCAGTGCTTGAAAGTAAACCCAGGGCTTCACATTCTAGGGAGACTCTCTAACCGTGAGCTGTATTCCCAGCCTAGTTTTGTTTTTATTTGTAAACTGCACTTGTACACCTTATGGACCCACTGAAATCGCATGCACAAATACAAAACAGTGTTTTTCTGGTACGAATAAACAACATCCATTCAAAAGAAATAAAAAACTGAATCCTATTCAAAATAGGTTTAAAAACAAACTACAACCAAACAACCAACACCCACCAAAAATACTTAGTAATGAAGCTAACAAAGGAAGTGAAAGAACTCAAAGTCCTGACGACATGGAAGACAATACTGGAATATGACGAGCAAGCCTCCCCTTCTCATGGATCAACACAGGATAGTGAAATGGCTATACCACCAAAAACAACCTATAGATTCAAAGCAATATCCATCAGAATTCCAACACCACTTTTTTTTGTTATGGAAAAAGTAATCTTGTAATTCATATAGATCCTCAATAGTCAAAGCAGACCTGAGCAAAAAGAACTGTGCTGGAAGTTATTACCCCAGCAATTTCAAGTTGCATTGGAGAAACATTAACAAACTAAGCATAGTACTGGTTCAGAGACAGACATGTAGATCAATGGCATAGAAGAGAGCACCCAGATACAAACCTGTACTCCTATAATCACCTGATTTTTTTAAATTTTACTAAAGACAAAAACATTCTTTTCAAGCAATGATGTTAGGAAAACTGGGTAGCCACTTCCAAAAAGCAAAGCTAGATTACTTCATCACCCTGTACAAAAAGTCAGTTCAAAATGGATTGAAGTGTTTTATTTAAGACCTGAATTTGGAAAATATTGAAGAAGAAGAAAAAAAAAACTGTTTACAGCTACAGATATGGACAAGGACATTCTGAAACAGACTCCAGGAAGTCAGGAAATAATTACCAAAAACTAACAAATGGGGACTACATGATGTTAAAAACAAACAAACAAACAAACAAACAAAAACAGTTCTATACAGCAGGAAAATAATCAAGTGAAGAGACAGGCTACAGAATGGGAGAAGATATCCAAACTATACGAAGAACATACGCGCACACACACACACACTAAAACTAACAACAACAGCAGCAACAACAACAAAACTATTGAAAAAAACAGACAATTCAATCAGTGACTGAGCTAATAAATGAAGACACAATTTTAAAAAGATGAAGTGCAAATGGCCAATCAACATGATCAATCGTTCATCATCTTATCCACCAGGGGAACAGGAATTAAAACTGGTTTCCATCTCACCCCAGTTAGGGTGGCTGTCAGTTATATATAGGTAAGGATGTGCGAAACAAGGAACATTTTTATACTGATGATGGGAATGTAGGTCGAACTAGATCTATGGAAATTAAAATGAAAGTTTCTTTAAAGAGACAGAAACAGAACTAAAACATGATCCAGCTATCCTATTTCTGGGTATATGCCCAAAGGACCCTAAGGCAACATACCACATTCATGTTTGCTGCAGCACAGTTCACAGTACCCAAGTTAATGGAATAAGCCTCTCTACCTGTCAAAGATACATGTGCATTATAAAAGAATAGTGTACATACATAATGTAGTTATAGTCAGGTATAAAGAAGAATGAATGTGTTATTTCCTGGGGTAAGCAAGTGGAAATGGCCATATTAAGTTAGAGAAGTCTGTTACAGGAAGACAAACTATATTTTCCATTATTTGTTGTGCATGGTATGAAATTCACACAAAAAAAAAATAGTGGAAAGTGTCTGAATGTGTCAAGATAAAAAGATACATACTTAAGAAATTTTCCTTTTACTCTTACAAGCAACTATTAAAAGTGTCTGAGTATATTAAGATAAAAAGATCCACACGGGCTGTAGAGATGGCTCAGCAATTAAGAGTACACTGGTTGCTCTTCCAGAAGTCCTGGGTTCAATTCCTAGCACCAACATGGCAACTCACAACTGTCTGTAACTCCAGCTCCAGGGGATCTGATGCCCTCCCAGAGGCATACATGTATGCAGAACACAAATGTACATAAAATAAAAGTAATTAAAAAATATCCCACTTAAGAGATTTTCCTTTTATAAGAGATGCTCTTGGATTAAAGGTAACATCAGCAGTGAGACTGGTTTTTTGGGTTGTGTATGTTACCTGAAGCATTAATGTTTTGTTTTATTTTGTTTTGTTTTGTTTTGTTTTGGAGGTTGGTGGATGCAGGGGAATGGATGCAGCATCCCTTATGTGCTAGGCAGTATGCTGTCACCAAGCTCTATCCCCAGCTCTTAAATTGTCTTCCAAATATATGAAAAGAGATTGGGCATCACTCAAAATTGCAATGAACCCAATGTTCACTGGGTATAGGCATTAGCCTGCTGACCTGAGCTCAATTCTTATAATCCACAAGGTGGAAAAAGAGCACTGACTCATCCTTCAACCCCCAGCGGTGTATACACACACACACACACACACACACACACACACTGTAAACCTCAGTTTTTAAAACTAAGACAAAAACAAAGATACAGAGGCACTATTCATACCATTGGGTGGGCAAACATTCGATGACAATGGCAATATAAAATAATAAAAAATTAAAAAATTAAAATCATAGCATTAATATCTAATTGCTTATTTTGTTATAAAAACAGTGAAAAGAGATACATAAAAGCAGGATGGAGAGGTAGCCCAGTTTGTAGAGTACTTGCCTATAATGCAATAGGCCCTGGCTTCAGTCCCCTACACCACACAAAATCAGGCATGAGAACACATGCCTGTAATCCCAGAGCTCAATGTGGAAACAGGAATATCATGAGTTCAAGGCTATTTTCTAGACTACAGTTTGAGGTCAGGCTACGTGAGACCCTGTCTCAAAACAACAAAAAACAACATGAAAGTTGGATATTATAATCCAGTACCCGAAGCAAGGCTGGCATTACATGACAAGTGCAAATGGGGGGAAACCACATAGCAAGGTGGAATGTAAATAGCATGGGCCCTCAGCTAGGTAGAGTACTGTAGTGTAGTACCCTATTTGTAGTACCCTTTCTTTTCCTCTTACTGGTGTCTCTTACTCATACATAGCACCAATATTAGGACTGAGGAACAAACATTCTTTAAGAAACTAGAAATCTAAATACAAGAGCTGTTTATCTTGGGTCTTCTCCAAAATTACAGTAGGCACTCTTGGCTTTCCACATGCCGTGGCCATTTGTGTGTGACTTCAGATACATTTGCTTTTCTACACTTTTCTGCCTGTCAGCTTATGATATAGGTAGTACTACACATGTTATCAGCTCCAAGACTTGAAGCTAGTTCATTTAATCAAGATATCCCAGAAATATAGTCTTATGAAAATGAAATTTAAATGGTTATAATATACAAAGAGAACATTGTAATACAAAAAATATAGTATATCTTATTAATCCAATGAAATCTTCCCAATAGATTGTTTTGGTCAATTTTTCTTGCATTAACAAAAACTGTAAAATAAAAACATAAAGCAGTTACAGATTGCTGTTAGAAAGCACCTTCTAAGTTTATATTGAATGGATTATTAGCAAGTGAATGTCTCATATTGGAAGAATGCATTTTTGAAAAGTATCACCTTCGAAAAAGGATTATAATTGAGTAAACATTTATACCTTTTTACTAGTCAACATACAAGACATCTTTTCATCTAGTAGAAGGTCACTGTCATTAATTTCCAGCTGATGGTTTTATAATAGGTCCTTCTGGTTCTTGATGGTCATTATCAACATATAAGGCAGTGATGATATGGCCAGTACAAAGGCAAGATAGGGGTCTTAATTAGAACTCTGACAAGCCCACTGCAATAAAATGATGAGATTATTTGTAATTGATGTCACAATCCATTACCACTTAGTTCATCATGAGCATTCTAATAGGTCTGGCCTTGGAACTGGCCCCAGGATGTTGCTGACTGGCTGCCCTGCTTATGCTGTTACTGCAACAGGAGGGCACATATTCAGTCAGCAGCCTAATGACCTCTTTTGAAGTCTATTAAATTAATGACACTGGCACACTGTTTTCATTTCTTACAGCCTTAGTTTCTATAAATTAGTGTTTGGGACCCATATAATAAAGAGATCTTTTTAAAGTGTAGAAACCTTTGATATTTAGTTAGTAAGAAATGAAAGCAAAAATAGCAATTTTTATGACATGTATAAAGGATGACTTCAGAACATATGCTCTTCCTCCAAATGAAGTCTTTCATTCTTATAGGATCTGTGTAGCTCGTGTTAGCTTTGAGTTCATGGTCCACTTGCTTCAGTCTCCTGAGTGTGGGGATTCCAGTTGTACATCACAGTCCCAGGCCTTTATTTTCAGTGATTAGTCCCCTGTTGAGGTTTTCTTGTTTCTAATGGGCCTGCTTTTCTATACTAATTCCAGGTGCCAACAGGTCATGTTTGGTTAGAAGGTGATAACTTACAGAATTCTACCGATTCCAGGTATTATGGGCCTATACCATATGGACTAATAAGAGGACGGATCTTCTTTAAGGTATGCTTTAATGCCTAAAACACCACCTTTATTCTATGAGCTGGCGGGAGTGAGGACATCTCTTTAATTAAACTTTGAAATCCATGGCTTCCAAGTTGACTTAACTATTGCAGTGACTACATTTGATGGACATTTTACCTTTACTTAGAAACTATGGACAAAATACATTATCCTCTCCCCTTCCTTTTCCTAAAGGGAATAACTGAGAATTTTTATAATAAAATTCAAACTAAATTAGTAGTGTCCTAGAGAACTGTTGAGTTTACAGTTCACATCATTTCAGCAAGCACTTCTACAACAGCAACCCAGGCTCAGTCTACTTGGAATGCAGGTGAACCCAGTTAAATGCAGCAAGCCATAGGCAGGTGTATGGCTGTAGAGAATGTACAACAAGCCTTAGATGACATTGGTTCTTAGATTCATTGGTTCTTCCATTATAGGCTGATATAGTTTTGTTTTGAGACAGGGTCTCACTCTGTATTCTAGGCAGGTCTTAAACTCTCCCTTCCTGTCTCTTGTCTCCTAAGTGCTAGTATCACAGATGGTGGATTACAGGTATTAGTTACTACACCTGATGCCCCTTGATCACAAGGCTTTAGAAAAAAAAAAATGTATGAATATCTAAAGCAACTGGATACTGTTCAGGATTCTTTATACTTAAACAGATGCCATATTAAGTCACTTAAAATATCAAGTAGCATAGATTGGTAGTGTAACTTATTTTAGGTTAGTAAAAGAAAACAGCCATGTCTTCACAAGCTTACTAAACAAACAGAATTTCTGGTGTCATGTTTGAATGCCCCAGACTAAATACACCTGTTTATTTTCAGAATAACTGATGAAGAGAATGTACTACAATATCTAACACAGAGAAAAGGAAAAGGGAACATGATGATAAAGAATTTTCATTAATTGTATTCAACTGTATTTTCATTTTACAGATTTGGCCTTTCAGTGACTTTGGATTTCTGCGTGACAGCCCAAATGGCCACAGATTTTCTGATGAATAATAAGTATTTCCTTTTAACTTGATTATTGTCTCCTATTCAAGTGAATTTATTACTATAGTTGAAACCATGAACTTAACAATAAACTATTTGCTATTCAATTTTATGTTTTAAATATAAGAGTAAATATCACATTCTGCAATATACATTAAAAGTATTTGGATAAAAATTAACCCAATACAAGTTTCCCTCTAAATTGTATGATATAAAAATATCTTGGGGAAGAAATCCAGATGACTACCTCATATTTGAATTTTGGTAGTTCTTATACAAAGAAAGCAATCTGTTCTCCAATGTACTTCATATGTCAGTTCTTCCTAGCAGACTAAGACTGAGCATTCCAAGCTGACAACTGACTGAGTTCTGCTGACAACACTGTGAGTTAGACTTAAACAAAACATCTGAGCAGCAGTCTCATAAGGGTCCTCTTGTGTTCATAAAATGAATTCTGGTCTACACTGTACACAGAATTCTACGTACAAAAGGAAGTCACATAAGATATGATGCTTACAGTCCATTGTAGTCAGTAATCACTCATTAGAAAAGCCCCTTCACCACACCAGGAATGAAATGAATGGCTCCTTAAATGGAGGCAATCCAATAGAAAGGAAAGTTGAAATTTTAGGGTTTTTTTGTTGCTGTTGAATTTCAGTTTTTAAGTTTTCTTTTCCTAAATTATACCTGAACTTAAGATACCTCCTGACAAGCTTTAGACATACAGGGCCAGGACTAGAGTCATGTTTTCTAACACATGGTCCTATGTCTCCTTTGAAATAGATTCGTAGAGGTACATTTCCAACCTTGTTTAGGGCAGAACAGCGCTCACACTTCATTTACAAAAATTCTAACCTTATTGGAATGCCTGAGTTATTGAAACAGGTATACAGTAGGCATATAATTCAGTAACTAAAAACATCATCTTTTTAGATGAACAACTTAATAATTAAAGACAGCAAGATGGTTCAGCTAGTAATAGGAACTTAGCATAAGTCCCATGACCCAAATTTGACCTTGGGACCCACATGGGGGAAGAAGTGAAGAATCAATTCCTCATAGATTCTCAGTTTGTCCTCTGCCCTTTACACACACATGCATGCGCGCACACACACACACACACAAGATTAAAGCAAAAAACAAAACCCTTAGTAACTATAAAGAATACTCTTACCTGATTTTTGAAAAAGAAATTTATACTTCAAAAAGGAAATAATTAGTTTGTACCAAAGAGAAAATAAAAGTAGTTAGCTAAAAATGCAAAAATATTTTTCAAGTCCTTTTTGTAATATCCTATAATTTACATTTTAGATACATATAAACAAATGAATTAATCTGTTAATCTGAAGTGGTCTTTGCTTGAAGATTTCACCTTATCTTCACAAATTAGACAGTTAATAACAAAAAAAGCATCTGTTTCCTTGTAGTTAAAGGGTCCCAGGAATGAACACACAGTTCAGCTCTGATGAAGGAGTTCCACAATCAGGGAGCACATATCACAGGAAATCAGGTTTGCTTCTTGTGCTTCATCCTTGTAGACAGTGTATTTCCCACCACATCGACAGCTCAGAGAGAAAGACTCATCATCTGCAAAGAATATAAAAATAATGCTTCAGATGTTCACAGTCTACTTTGCGAAAACCATTCAAAATACAAGGTATGTTCCAGAGAAACTGGAAAAAGAAAAAAAAAACAAAAAAAGACTAGGTACAGATAAAAATGTTTAAAAGGGAGCTGGAAAAATTCTCATGCATAGAAAAAGTTATCTATTGTAGAGTCTGTTTATCTGGAGTAGCAATGGTGCTCTGACTCTGTATTCAATATTCACGGGTAGGGGTTAGGCAAAATATGCTCAGAGTAATCTACAAAATTTACTCAGAATTTTCCATTTTCTTAACAACTCTGAAATTTTTATATTCTTCTAAGCAATGCATTTAAGGTGCTAGTGATGGTGGAAACTGGAGGCTTAGATACTGCTGTCCTTTGAAAGAAAGCCTCTGATCCCGCTGCTGTGATAATTTGCTCTCTCTGGGAAGTGTTGTAGTTATCCAAACCCACCAGGTCATAATCTGTTTTACTGCACTCATAGCTTAGAGACAAGTGACATTTCAGGAGGCACAGGATCCTGACGTAGCTTCAGGTGACTCTCAGAGTCGGCTCCATGTAGACATCACGGTGCAGTAGAGAGGAAGCAAGAGCAGACATGAGAGGTAGCTGCCTTGTATTTGTTCTGTATAAAATGTAAATCTTGGAAAAATGGGCAATTATGTGTCACCTTATCAAAAAAGAATATATAAATCTCGTCTTCTTTTTTATTTTTTATCACAATGTAGGTTTCTACATAACATAAAAATTTCTTTTTGAATTTAGAAATGTAAATATCCCCCATTTAAGGCAACATATATATAACTAATGGAAGCATGTTTTCAAAGTGAATAGTTAAATTATCTAAAAATTGCAGGTTGATTTTCATTATTTATTTATTTATTTATTTATTTATTTATCTATTTTTGTTATTACTGTATGTTCTCACATGCAGTAGCATGTGTATAGAGGTCAGAAGTCAGATGTGTATGTTGGTTGGTTCTCTCTGTCCACTATGTAGGTCCCTGGGATCTATCTATCAAGCCATCTTTTCTCATTCATTCCTCTAAGACCCCAGAACTCTGGTTATTCATGGTAAATATGAACTTCTCTACCCCAGAACTTCATTTGGATTGCTAAACCCCGAGTGGTTCTCTAGGCAAACATGATTTCTCTCCTAAGACAATAATGCTTGTGACTCCCATCCTTAGAGTACTAGGTAAAGACTTTGCCATTAAACGTGAAGCTTAATTTGAAGGGTTCTGTTTCTACCACAGCACTATACTCATTAATGAACTTCTTTAAGCCTTTGTAGGAGTTGTTCCCTATGCTGAAAAATTGGGAGTATATTAAAAAATGGTTAGGAAAAGAGAATTTTATTTTTCCAGAGAAATATAAAGTATAATACTCATGGCTTCCATTTAGAAAGTGGTGTTTTCCAATTTAATGATGTATAACCACAATTGCAAAGAATAGATGACTATGGAAATTACATTGGTTACTACAGTTTTAATACTCTAGTAAAAGAAAAGGGCAAGAAGACATGACATTATGAAAGGCAAGGGGAATGACATTTTCTTAAGGACAGTCAGAAAGTATGAGCAGCACTGGAGAAACCCAGCACCACTTACCAGTGTAGTTAACCACTTAAGCACCACTTAACAGTTTGTGCCTTTACCCTCAGCATTCCGCAAGTGGAAGCAAGAGGGTCAGAAGTTCAGGGTTATTCTCAGCTAACCTAGTTATTTTCAAATGAGATGAACAAAACCAAATAGTGAAATCAAAGGTAAAGAGAAACATTATCTCTTTCAAAGCAGAAGGTCAGATCATTAAAAAGACCTATCAGTTTCTGACTCCATATAAGGCAAAAAGAAATTCTGACAGGAGTTTGTTAGCATGAAGAATATTACCATTTTTTGCTTTTTAAAAATCATATTGCACATAATGCAAAAACCAGAGAGGTTAAAAATGAAAAAGAAACCATAAAATACTTAATTGAAATAGAAAACACTGAGAAATGAGCCATATAATACTGCAATAAACAAAGTTGATAAAAGGCAGATAAAACATGTGGAAAGGTAAAGCCATTATTTAAGACTTCCATATATCTTTATTTTCTTCCTATATTAAAAAAAAAACCTAATATATATCTTCAGTGTGAATAGACAAAATAAGATCAACTCTAACCTTCGTTCCAGGACATCTCTTCAAGGTGTACCTGTGCATCTACTGGCCCCACATTTCTTAGCTCATCTTCTGTAAAACATAAAGCATGATTGTTTTGATGGTAAAGAATGCTGATAATGCATCTCCTGTGTAGCCATTCAAGCCTGTATCATGAACCATTTCCAAACTGTCTTAGTGCTTTTGACATCAGCACAAAGGCAGAGAGGTCATATATTCTATGTCCACTCAGATACAGAGGAAAGTCCATAGAACAACAGCAAGTCAGAACAGCCTTTGTGGGAAACAGAACTAGCCAACACCTATCTTGAACTTCTCATCCTCCAGAACCATGAGAAATAAACTGTGCTTAGCTACCCTGGCCTGTAGCGTTTTGTTATGGCAGCTCCAACAGACTAATGGGTATTCTTCAAATCAAATGAGATCATGCCTGAGGTACTGTAAAGAGCAAAGCTCTACAAAAACATAGGTGGCTGTTGGTCATCTGATTGAAGGAGAATAGTAAGAATCTAAAGGGAGGAGAACTTTACTACTTTGGCAGTCTCACAGCACAACTGTGTGCTGTACATCTTTTGTTGTTATCTGGGCCAAAGTGTTCCTGTATAGATAGAGGGCCTAAGTGAATCCCATGAGTGTGGTCTGGTTAGTGCAAGCATGAAGTCTCACTTAAAATATGTAGACTTTGAGCAAAGAAAGCAACTATAGGTGGCCTCGATTCTTTCTCAAGGGCATTGTATAATTCCTGTATGTGTGTATTGTTCTTTTAGAAGATAATGCTTGGGGGGGGGGTGGACACATTACTAAAATTCAGCAACCTCCCCCAACTCCAATGAAAATTTCTTTAGCTGTCTCACTAGTCTCTTATTCACTTGCTGAGAATGCATTCCTTTGTTCTGCTGTGTGCATGCCTGCAAATTAATTATATTTAATAACCGCCTGCTTGGAATTTATTGGTGAGTTACACAATTTAAAAATAGATGAAAAGATTATACAATATTTTGAACCTACCATACTCTTCTATTAAGGTATGTCAAATATTATACTACATCATATTTAATGGGTACCAACAGTCTATTAAACTGTCCCTAAAATCCAGACACAGACTTTCTCTTGTGGTCCAGGTAGCCCTTCCATCTATATGTGCCCACTGAAGAACTTTATAATTTATAGCATGCTAAGTAGTTCCTAAACAAAACACACTATTTTCCACATTCTATACAAAGTATACCTGCCTACCTGCTCTGGTTTTTCCTCTTCCTCCTTCCCTCCCTTTCCTCTCTGTGTGCCACCCTTCCCTACCCACCCACCCACCCACCCACCTAAAAACTAAGGTATTACTTTATTGTCCAGGCTACACTTGAAGGAACTGTGTGCAGCTCATGCTGGCCTTGAATTCATGACAGTCTTTCTGACTTCTGAATGTTGGGATTACAGGCAGGATCCACCATTTTTTCTTCCCTTTCCCCCTCCCCACCATTTTTCTTCCCATTGAGACAGGGAAGAAGCCCTGGCTGTCCTGGACTTACTATATAGAACAGGCAGGCCTAAACTCACAAAGATCCATCCGCCTACCTCTGCCTCCAGAGTGCTGGGATGAAAGGCCTTGAATACTGCACATGGCTCTTCCCAATTTTTTTTTTTTTATTTCAATCTGAGTCTCATCAGGGAGAGAAAAAAATAAATTCTTATGGTTTACTCTCTTATTCAGAAGAGTCAACTTTGCTAGAATTAAAAAAAGAAAACAATATCTGAAGAGGATAACTGACAGTGAAAAGATCTACTTGGAAAACAAACAGTATTGTCCATTTGCAACCAAGTTACTAGGGTAAATTGTATTTCTCTATGCTTGGCACACAACTGAAGCAAAGCAGATTGGGGAAATCAGCTTTCTCAGCCTGACCTATCTAGGACAACTGTACTAAAAGGGATAAACAATTATAAATACACATGATGCCATTGTATTTAAAAATAAATAATAAATGAGAAGGGCCTTGCAAATGTAACTGCCAAGCCATTCAGCTTCCTAATGTTGTGCTTTTCTACTGGGAAGCAACCATCATTCTGATCCTAGTTCCTATTTTGTATGCTACTCTATTATTCCTCCCACATTCCATTATTTTCTCTTTGTCTTTATCCCTATGCACAGGGCCTTTAGAGTAGCACCTATTCTTGGTTAAAAGATTAGCACAGCCCATCTCATAGTGAAAGAGCAAAGAGAACACAAAAATGATTAGTTCTTTGCCAAAGATCCTAATTGAAAGGAATATATTGGAGTTCTGTGGCTATGGAAACATGGAGATTTTATTGAATACTATGCACACAAAAATCCATGAGTCTGGTTTTAAAATTCAGTATCTGACATAAATATGAGTATGAAACATGCCAGAAAACCTTCCCTATGCTGTTGAGGGGCAAGGAGTGCTACTTAGAAGTCTCAGGGGCTTTCTGGTTAAATTGCTGTGCTTATGGTGAAAAATCTTATCAAGTGACACAGACTTCTGCACCTCTCTGTATCTACTCATGTTACACTTCAACAAAAAGTTTTAAATACAGTTTATTTGAGACTTCAGTGGTCCTGTTTTAAAAGCTAGAAATAAGAAAAGTTATTTTATTTTTTAAGAAAAATTATTGTCCTTTGAAAAGAAAATAATCTAACAGCTTCTGGAGTGATTAACTCAGGGGGAAATTGGATCCCTGGAGAACTGTATAATGAGCAGACCCAGTACAGGAAAGTAAAAGGTGACTCTAAATGTGGTCAGTGGGGGGTGACCATGGTCCTTTGTTGAGAGGCAGGTGTCCAAGGATGGGGCAGCAGCAAATTCCACCCAACCACCCAACCCCCACTACAATCACAAGGAAGGAGAACAAACAAATCAGCGTATTTTCCTTTCTTTCTTTTAAAACAATGATCTCTGCTTGTCCACCACTGTGGTTGTAATTAAAAATCTCAATTCTTCCCTATCCACTAAAGTCACTTTGCAGGAGCTCTGAGAGTAAAGGAGGTTGATAATTGTGTATTAACTAGGCATAGCATCTTCAAAACAGATGAGTTTGTTTTCTTTTGTAGTACAACACACACACACACGCACACACACACACACACACACACACGCATGCATGGGCACACACTTTTGCTCACTGCAGTGAAACATTTTAATAGGCAGATCTAGAACTTCAAATCACACCTCAAGGTTCTCCAGTGGAAATAAAATACTAACACTGAGAAAGGAAACTGACTTGATTTAAAGACCAAGATTTTAAAATTCAATCTTTTGTTTTTCTATATAATTGCAACAACTTTTTGGAAAAAAAAAAACATCAAAAACAGGAAACAAACAAAAACCAAAAAGAACAAAGCAACCTACAGCCAATTGTAAAGAACACACTGCTAGCATTTGGTGTGCTCACTCTAGATTGCAGTGACTATACAATTTGCTTATTATAAAATGGGTTCAACTCTTTTGAAGATTTCTAGGAATATTAAGGTCTGTTCACACCCTGTGTCATACTGACAAGCTTATCCAAACGAGACAAGACAATCCCCAACCCCCCACCTTCCAATTTTACTTTTATGTATCAAAAGCAATGCATTATAGTTAGAGTGAAGTTCCTAAGGAATATAATGATAAAATCAAATAATTTATGTGGTTACTTGAAAAAGAATCTTTCAGTCTTTAGAAGTATAGGCCCTTCTGACCTTACATTCTATTGGGTTTGTCTGACAACAAGAGGTGAAAGAATTCTGTGGCTCCATTGTCTCAACAGTGGGATCTAAGACAACACTGGCAGGGCTCATCAGAGAGGTTTATGAGCTTGCAATTCAAAGAGATTAAAAGGAAAATCTACAGCGATTCTTTCACACTGACGAATAACATTAAATAACTATTAGCAGCTTGGTTCAGTCAAGCTCACCAGGACTCTTGCTGAGTCATTGACAGCCTTGTAAAGAGGAAAAGTTTCTTCAGCCCCATTTGGGAATCAATAAATATTCCTTACTTCTTATAAGACAATGAGAATTCCAGTCTTTAAAAACTTCTTCCTAATGATAATCAAATTTCTAAAACAACCCTTTAATATCTAAATGATTAATTTATAATCCCAGCAAACTTTCTAACCAAAACTACAATTTAAAAAAGAAAAAAAAAAGAAAGAAAGAAAAGAAGAAAAAGAAGGACCAGTAAGTAAAACTTAAAAACAGCAGCAATCTGAGACTCCAGGGAGTGGGACTTCACTGCTCACTATGGCTGAGGTGTTTAAATGTCTCATTCACTGAATAATGACCAAGACAGCAAGTCCATCTGCAGGCCTGTCTGTCCTGTTCACTGTGGCAATGTCATTTATTCAAAGGGCCATCACACCCCCATGTGCTCTCATGTAGCAATTAATCCACTACTTTTATTGTTACATGCAATTTCAAATGCGTAAAAATAAATATTTGTTTTTAAAAGCTTATGTGTATACAAGTTAAATGCAAATGCTAGTGTTATCATCTAGGTCTAGCTCAGAATTTTTCTATCTTTAGACAAGTAATTTAATCTTAAGAATCATCTAATTTTAAAAACCATTTCACTACAGAAATTAGATTTCCCAAATAGGAAGAATTAGGGTATGCAGTTCTGGCCTTCATACTGCTGTTCTTAGAGGGCTGAGAATTGGGCAACATCTAATTTGAAAATTGTGTACTAAATTATAAAGCCTACAATCTTTTCCTAGATGAAATTATACTCACAATTATAATGTTTTCCACACTGAAGAAAAGAATTGTGGAGTTTTTTTT